TGGCGAAGACGAAACTGAAAGCTGCGGGAGCGACTGGCGTTCACTGCCCGTCATGATTGTTTACCTCCGGATGAGCTACGTGAAGCATTGTTCTTTTGCGCATGCAGGTCGGTTTAGGAGCGTGATCTGTTCAGACTAATGTCACATACAGGTCACATTTAAAAGATAATGTGAACAGCCAAACAAAAAAAAAATCGGATTTGGTGATGAAATCAGATTTGGGCCGCGTTTACCTGCTGTGTAAACGTCTTTTCAGTTAGTTTAACTTCTGTTTGGCGAGGCTGCCATGGTAACACTGAATGATGCCGCACGTGCAGTGGAAAAAAGCACATGAATCTGATCGGAGCGTCACATTAAGGTCGCATGACCACAAATCGGATACATATATGATCTAGGACCACATATGAAAGTGACTCAGGTCGGATTTGAAAAGATGAGATTTGTGTCCACACAGCTCTGAAAGCATCAGATCTGAGTCACATTATGGCAAAAAATCGGATTTGTGTCACTTCAACCTGCTAATGTGAACATAGCCTTAGTTAATTGGTTAACGGGTTGCAAGGGATTTAGTGACAGTAGGCAAGATAGATGACCCATTTAAAGGAACAGTTTTACATGATTTTCCACTTACCTCAAATATGGTCAATCAGCCATGTTTGGTGTCAAAAGTTTGCCTTTTTAGTTTAGAATTGGAGCTATAAGGCTAACTGTGCCAAGAAATACTGAAAGTCAATTAACATCCAGACCATTTCTGCAAAACCAAGCCCAAAACTTCTCTCAACCCACTCAAACAGCATGTAGTCTTAATTCAGGTCATGCACACAAGTCAATGTGGTTTAGGACACAACAAAAAAAAAACTTCTCAGTGCAGGTAAAAGAAGAGGTAGCCATTCAGGATAACCGGAATAATTTCTGTCCTTAGCAAAATTTGGTATCATTACGCGCAAGACGACCAAAAGTTGAGCTTCACAACAGGACAGCATACATATGCACAGCAGGCTTAGCTTCTCTAACTAAATCAGTACAATGTCTGATTACACATTTGAGGACACTTGGAAGCTGGACCAACAAGTGACTCCCCGGAACCCCCTCTTAGCATGAAACTCAAGTTAGCTTCTGTAAAGTGCCAAGAAAAGTCAGATGCTCGCGGTTTGAAATCACCACAGAGCTTTTACTAACAAAATCAAAATCCAGAGTCACAATCAAAAAACAGTCGTAGTGGGTCAGATCCAAAAAGCACAGCACAATAATAACAGTAAGCACAACACGATGCTAACAAACACAAAGGGGTAGGCAAAAGACGTAGTCAGTGGAACAAGCAAAAAGGGTCAAAAACATGAATTAGATAAGTCCAGCAAACAATCCAGGGCAGAGCAAAAGGCAAAGTCGAAATAACAAAAGCAATGGTCAAAAAACAGGATATAAACAATAGAATAAACACTCAGTAGTTCACATTGGAAACAATACTTCGCAACTATCTCTAGCTAAAGCCCAGGCTTATAAACTAAACTATGGAAGTCATATGACTAACACACAAGTGATACACATCAATACTCAATGGAGTCCAAGTTAGACTCCGGGTGTGAAGGAAGCTTAGCAGTCATGTGATCTTCCAGAGGATTCTGGGAGATGGAGTCCGTGTTCCTCTGAGAGCTTGCTGGATGCATGACAGCTTCTCATTTGAATTTTGCACTCCACCTTAAATGGGGCATCAGTTGTACACTGAGGTGTCTCAGGCTGCATCATATAAGGAGAAACAAAAAAGCTGAATAAGAAGCTGCCAAACAGGAAGCCAAATTCAGCCTTGCCCTCTTAGCTACATATGGCGAGAAAGCAAAGTGAAAACAGAGCAATAAATAGCCCTTCACTTCTTTCAGTCATCATCCATAAAATTCTACAGCTGTAGATTTTTTTTAATTGTTATTATGCTATTATGTTATTATGAACACTGACATGCAGTTATCTTTTCTGAGCTGCAGTCTCTAAACATGTGTTCATACGCGCATGCATGAAATGAAACTCGCACTTTGCAGCAGCGGCCTCTATGAAGTCCAGTCCAGACAGTATACGCGCATAATGGCGCACACTTCATAGGTGCACATCATTTTGAAACAAGACAATGATTATCTAGCCTCTCAGTCAGGGTACAGCTACAACTGTGGACTAGTGCAAAATGGAAAGCAACGGATTAACATTGATTAAATAGTGAATTTAAAATGTTTCTTAGTTGCGCATCGTCCCAGTAGGCAGTGCCTGGTAAACCTTCAACGGAAGGGGGCCAGGAGGCATCCTAAGCAGATGCCCGAACCACCTCAACTGGCTCCTCTCGATGTAGAGGAGTAGTGTCTCTACTTTGAGCTCCTCCCAGATGACCAAGCTCCTCACCCCATCAAGTAGAGTGTAGCCCACCACCCTGTGAGGAAAGCTCATTTATGCCACTTGTATCTGCAACCTTATTTTCTCGATCATTACCCAAAGCGTATAATCACAGGTGATGGTCGGGATGTAGACTGACCGGTAAACAGAGAGCTCCGCCTTATGGCTCAGCTCCCTCTTCTCCACTACAGTCCGGCACAGCGACCACATTACTGCTGCTGCCTGTCCCAGCATGCGGCCGATCTCACAATCTATCTTCCCATCACTCGTCAACAAGACCCCAAGATACTTAAATCCCTCCACCTGAGGCAGGTCCTCTCCCCTTACCTGGAGTGGGCATGATATCCTTTTCCGGGCTATGACCATGGGCTCCGACTTGGGAGGTGCCAATCCACATACCGACGACTTTACAATCAGCCCCAGTGAGCGCTGGAGGCATCCATGTAATGGAGCTAAGAAGACATCAATCGCAAAAAGCAGAGATGCCAACCTCCGGCCTGGGACGAGACCCCAAGGTCATAATAGGACCCGCTGGAGGGATTATACCCCCAAGTTGGCCCCTGAGAGGCTTGGGGTGTCCAAGAATGGCAGGGTCACCTGGGATGGATCTGGATCAAGTGGTTTAAGATGATGATTAGCTGGGCATACTGGGCAATATGGATGCTTATTTCTCAGTAAATAATAACCAAGTATTCACCCAAACTGTAGTATTTTAATATTTGAAAACGTATAAAAAGAAAACAGGGGGAGCCAAGGAGTTTGAATTGGCTGTATAGGCCTATACTTATTCTTAGAGCAACCAAAGGAGCAACTGTTTTAAAGGAGGGAGGATTGTAGTGCGAGCACTGGGGTGCCATTGTGTGCCAGTTGCAAATGATGTACATGGCTCACGGAACAGGTAGGAGGGCCCCTTTGCAGAATTTTGCTTAGGGCCACAGGGAGGTTTGGACCAGCTCTGCCCCATGCTATAATATAATAAGCAGGATAGAAGGAAAATAACCATGGATTGATGAAAGAAACATCAATAACCTTCGATATGCTGATGACAACACTAAAAGTGGTAAATCAGGAAGAAATGAAGGTCAGTTTAATGAAAACTAAAACTGAAAATTTGGGGTTCATTATGAAGAAAAGGTTATGACAACCTGAAAAAAACAAATAAATTTACCATTGATAGTAAGCAGTGAAGTGGTGGACAGCTTTTGTCTGCTTGGATCAATTATTAAGAAACAAATAGATTCTTGACCAAATTCATCAGAAGAGACAATTATATTGTTGAACACTTGAAGGTAAAAGAGGAAGAGGACAACAGCAACAAGCTGGAGACAAAAATATTGTAGTGTACAATAATAATAATAATAATAATAATAATAATAATATGGGGAGCACCATGGTGGGCAGTCAAATTTCTGTGTGAGCTGTTGCCACCCTAGACACTGCTTAGACACACCACTGCACTACACATACAGCTAGAAACACTTACACTAAAGATGTTTTGGTGTCTGTCAGTGACTATTTCAGACTATGCTGTATGATAATGATCAAAAAGGACTTGCCTGGATTAAGAATCTTGCTTTCAAAGAATAACACTGAAGTTACACAATAGCAAGTGAATGCAGACTGACCAGGATGTCAGTCTTTTCACTGTTAACCATGTGGGTGTACGTGTCTGTGTGTGGGAAATAAACACTGATTTAGTTGCAGGAAAAAGTTCTTCTGGGTATCTCTGATTACATGTTTCCCCCAAAACTGTTCGAAAGGTCAGAAGAAAGTTTTCTTTTTTAAACTTGCAGTTTAATTGCCTTGACAGTTGCTGTAAAACAAAGCTCAACAATACCACAATAAGCCAACTATTTTACTGTTGAACAGAATTTTAACAACTTACATTTAATTTCAAAGCTTCTGTTCAGGGTAGAAAACAGTTTCATCATGGTACGCCTGCCGAGTGGATTTGAAATGAAACAAGTGCCAATGATGAAGTGGTGTTGTTGGGACAAAGTCAAGACCATGACTTTGTAGTAGTTGAGACAGTCAAGATTAGGGACTAATTTTGATATTCGAGTATTTGTAAGACTTAATGGAATGGATATATGGTCAAGTGCAGGGAAGGAAAGAGCAACAACAAAACCGGGGAAGAACAGACTTCAGCCAATATTAGTGCAGGGCTGCAGGCTTACATTTAGATGACAGTATTGGAGATTAAAAAAATTAATTTAAAAATAGAGGAGATTAAAAAGCTAATGAACACTAAACCCACACTCTTAAAAAGGATAGTTCCTCAAGGGTTCTGAGTAAACACAATGGTCCTATATTTGCATGTTTAAAGGACTCTTTGCATCGTGAAATTATGAAATACATACCCCTTTTCTCATCATAAAAAGTAAGGTAGGAAAATATTCTCTCAATGCAGTGCAGCAAGTTTCATCACAGCTAGGGAACCATATCATGATGGGCACATAAGTGCGTTGTGCGTTACTGCTTGGAAACAATTTATCTATGTATTTTTAGCTTTAAAATGCCGTCTGACTACCTGCTAGCGGTTTGGAAGAACTGACGTCACAAAAACTGGATCTATGCCAGAATGACTAGAGACCCTATAAAAGGACTGGTAATGTTCCTTTCTTGTGCATTTGCAGCCAAACGTAGCGATATCTGCACAGAGCAGTCTTGAAACTACAGAATACGGTAAGAACAGACAAATGCCTATCACACAAACACAAATGCATTTTGCTAATAATATAAATCAATGCTAATTAATCGCATCAGTCGTTAACATCCTCATGGAGAAAGAAATACTTTTGTAGCATTCACTCAAAATAATCCAGACATTTATAATGCCTATTTTTTATAAAGTAACAATCATACTATTTCTTTTATGAATAGTTTATTTTCCTGGGGTCGTACCAATGTATGGGGAGTGAATATTGTTCCAAGGTGAAAAGGAAAAGCACTGAATTCAGTTTTTTTGCAGCACAATCTTGTTTTGTTTTGTCATAGTTACAAATAGTTAGAAATAAGAATTAATTTCGTTTGTATATTTTTTTTCTTAGCAGAAGGAAGACACCTCAGAGACATGGTAAGCCAGTCTAGTCTTTCCATGCTTCTTGAAGGTCATATTGCTTGTAGGAAAAACATCTAAAAGCTGTCTTTGCTGTCATTTCCTTTCCATTACTCCTGCTTTCAGCTGCTGCTGTTTGTAGCACTCCCCCTGCTGGTGCAGTCCCACCCTGTCAATAGGGAGTTCCTACCTCTGGACTGTGAGGATATTTTCAACAATGGATCCAGCCACAGTGGTGTCTACACCATCTACCCAAAGGGTTCTGAGAAACCAGTGCAGGTTTACTGCGATATGGGCTGCGACGAGTACGACAGCCACAAGGACGGGAAATGGACGGTGAGTGAAACTATTATAATGTTCAAAACCACTTGAGCATACAGTCTGTTGGTGTGACGGCTTATGTTTGTAAAAAATGCTCTGGTAACGATCTACTGTACAATCCAACCCCCAGGTGATTCAGAGGAGAATGGACGGCAGTGTAAGTTTCTACAGACCATGGGCGCAGTACAAGAACGGCTTTGGGAACATAAGTGGAGAATACTGGCTGGGTGAGGCACAGCATGGCATTTTGCAATTGAATAATAAAAAGCAACCAATATATTTCTTTATTTTGTGCGTCTTTCTGCTGGTGACAGCACAGATAGATTAGGATTGAAAAATGTTATCCTAATGTGAGATCACTATCAAAATAATCCAAGTCTTATAATATGTATTTGGTGCCGAACGCATTTCTCCAAAAGCCCAGTCTAAACATAGTGTGTTTATATTGTAACACTGGGCTGTCCAGGGACGCCTCAATTTACATGCCTCATACTAACTGGAAGCTGGTAGGGAATTTAGTTAGTGTTCTGTGTTTCAGGTTACCTGTTCCTACTGGGTTCCTCCTGGACAGTTTCCCGTCTACTAATCAGAATAGTTGGATTTTGTTGAAAGCCAATCTAATCTATTTTTCAAATTGCAGGTCTGGAGACCATGTTTCTGATGACGTATGCAAATAAATATGAGCTGAGAGTGGACATGGAGGATTTTGATAGTGGCAGTGCCTATGCTCAATATACCTCCTTCTCCATTGATCCAGAGTCCAGTAATTACAGGCTGCGCATCAGTGGTTACATCAATGGAGGTGCAGGTGAGTAAACCATTATATTCTTGAAGTGTTTATATTTGTTTGTCTGCTTTTGTTTAAGAACGTCCCAGTTCAGTCCAGTTTTTTGCATATATATATATATATATATATATATATATATATATATATACACACTACTTGTGTGGAAAAAAAACCTTGTATAGCGTCATGTATTTAGTATGATTTCAAGTTGCTCTGTAACAGCTCTGAATTTCTCGTTATTTTTATGACCGTACCAGAAACTGAATAAAGTGACACAGCCAGTAAAACAGAATATTTCTACAATGGTTTTGTTTTCAAGGGAAAAAAAAAACACACAACAATGTAAGAAAAACCTACTTGAAGACCTAAAGCATAATAGCCACAGTACACTGCTAGTTTAACTCGTGATGAAAGGCGGCTAACCATGAACAAAACACTGGTGATACAGATGCCGAAGTGTTGATTTCCCACTTTAAAATACTGAAATGTTTTCCACTATAAAATAGAATAATATATTTTGCAGGTGATTGTTTGTCCTACCAGAACGGGAGGGATTTTGCAACATTCGACAAAGACTACGCTGGCTGTGCAAATGGCTATGCTGGAGGATTCTGGTATAGCTGGTGGCCGTGCCACATTGCCAATCCCAACGGCCTGTACAAATGGGGGAATATAGGAGATCAATACGGAGGGGTTATGTGGGGCTGCTGGAGAGGTTACTATTACTCCCTGAAGACCATCGTGATGAAGATCCGCCGAGTGTCTCTGGAAGAGCTTGAAGGGAAGAAGTGAAAGCCCAGAAGGAAACTGCATTGTGGAATTCTACAAGTCAATGCAGCATTTCTTTCAGGAAGATACACACGAGATCCCTCTCATATATAACGTTCTTCAGCTTTATCTTTAGAGATATCCAAATATAGAGACATGCTGGGTGCTGCTAACTTCAATGTTTTCTTTCCTTTTAAAAAGATCACAGGTTTCCAACCCTGATCCTGGAGAACCCCCTGCACATGTTTGTGTTTTCATCCTCTATAACACCTACTTCAGCTCAGGAAGGGCTTGTTAATGAGCTGCCTTGTTGGATCAGGTGTGTCAGGAGCAGTGAAAACACTAAGATGTGCAGGGCAGGATGCAATCCAGGACCAGGATTGGGAACCACTCAAATAGGGGATGATTCAATTGGTACACATTTTAAGTTCATTAATCCAACATATCAATCTTATTAGATCATTTGACTCATAATCTATAATTCTTGCTGTTTGGTTTGGTATTCTGATTATATTCTTAAAATTCTTAATAAAATTATTGCATTCTGAAACATACTAAGAGTTTTATTTTGTGCTCTCATTTTACTTCATACATACACAGATCAGGCATAACATTATGACCACCTCCTTGTTTCTATGCTCCAGCAGCACTGCTGTGTCTGATCCACTCGTACCAGCGCAACACACACTAACACACCACCACCACGTCAGTGTTACTGCAGTGCTGAGAATGAACCACCACCCAAATAGTACCTGCTCTGTGAGGGTCCATGGGGGTCCTGACCACTGAAGAACAGGGTAAAAGGGGGCTAACAAAGTATGCAGAGAAACAGATGGACTACAGTCTGTAACTGTAGAACTACAAAGTGCACCTATATAGTAAGTGGAGCTGTTAAAATGGACAATGAGCACAGAAACAAGGAGGTGGTCATGATGTTATGCCTGATCGGTGTATCTGTGTTGGCTTAGTCGTTTAGGTCATGTTGTCATGGTCTTTGACATTTGGTTTGTATTCACTCCCTCCCTGCCTTGATTCTGTGTGTCACGAATGTCACGGGTGAAGCGGAGGAAACGGACTCGATCTCCCAGAATCCTCTGGGAGATCACATGACTGTGACGCTTCCTACAAACCACAGTACACACACGGACTCCATCCCCCAGAATACACAGGGAGATCAGCTGACTGCTGATCTCCCTACACGCTCCTATCAGTGTTCTCGATCGCCTGAATACTGATGTGTTTCACCTGTGTATTGATCATGTGACTTCTTTAGTTAGCTTTAAAGACCGGTCTTTAGCGAGTGTTCTTTGCGAGGTATTGTTTCTTTGGTAAACTACTGAGCGTTATATCTATGATCAGGATTTTGTGTATGACCTGTAGCACCCGTTGTTTTCGACTCTGTTTTTGGATTTGCCCTTTTGGATTGTTTGCCCCGGATATTTGTTCTCTGTGTGTTGGCCTTTTTGCCTGTTTTTTGACAACGATCTTGGACTCTGACTTCAACATTAAAGCTTACTTCTCGTTCTTAATCCGCAAGCGTCTGAATTCTGTGAAACCGTTACACTGTGACCCTGTCAAAGGTGAAATTTTGTTTTATGCATTAAAAAAAAAAAAAAAAAAAGGAACGAACAAGTAAATATTTGACTCATGAATCAGCTGGTTCATTAATTGAATTTAAATAAACATGGGGCTTTTCATTGCTGTTTGATTCGTGTAGAAATCAGCCTCTTTCTAGATTTTAAAAACTTCATCAAGAGGATTTTAGACAAAGTAATCCAAGCTACTTGAAAAAATCTGTTTTTAAATCTATAATGAGTTGATAAAGAAAGTGAGATCATAAACACAAGCTGGTTAAACACAGTCCTCAAAAAGGTCTCATTTTCTCTCCAACACAGAATCATATCTTTTCTATGCTCCTCTTTGAACTTCAGCTTAGGGTGAAAAAGCACTCCAGAAACATCAAAATATCAAAAATAAATGCATCACAAATGCACAAAGATTAACTTACATCTGACTTTTACTACAAACATGAACTGAAATCTCCTTCATTAGTTTCTTAATTCTAGAATCTATTAGGCTTAGATTTGGCATGTTTGTATTGACGCCCTATTGTAGTGTATAACGTTAGGCAGTAATGATGCACCAATGCATAGATTTGATATGATCTTTTTCCTGTATGTATCTGCCGTTTCCAACTTTTTTCCTTAAGCTTGTCAGACTCATAGTCTGTTTATGACCACGCTAGCCTTTCTTGCTGTTACTATATCTGTGCTTGCTCTGCTGACCTAGCTATGGAGTCTAGGTCCAAAAGTACACGTTAATAAGTCAACAGCAAAAATTTCTTTAAAAAAAAAAAATCATCTGCTGCTGTCAGTTTCATACTCTTTCTCAGACCTTCATAACTTTGTAAACAGCATCAATGCTTCCTGTGGACTTCAGCAATTGAAAAAGTTAACTGGTTAGCTGGTTGTAAGTAGAGGTGGGCAATATGACAGTATTTTTTATCATTGTGAGAAATTTTGCTATCATGATGCTTTTCTGAGCATATCGTTCATACTTAAAGAATACTGACTAATTAATTAATTGGATTTAACGTAGGACAGAACTTGGAAAGTTCAATAAAAATAAATGCACCCAAAGTTTTTGATGGCTGTTTTTAAGTGTGGTACTACCAGTGCACCATGTGTCAAAATATTGTGATACATATCACGCGTAATAAAAAGGTGTTTTAAGTATTGTGATATATTTGCCATAACACCCACTCCTAGTTGTAAGACAGCTCCGCTCTCAGAAAAAAGGTACTAGACCATCACATGTGTTGGGACCCTCAAGAGTATGTCTTCAGTGCCTTTAGTTAAGGAACAAACACTGGCGTGCTAAAAAGTCATGGGACAGCAGTATGTAAATTGGTTATGAATTGGTGTTACCTAGGGGTGCAACGATTATTCGACTTAGTCGACTAAAATCAACGACCAAATTAGTTGACAACTAATTTAGCAGTCGATTAGTTGGTGACGTCATTACGCATCTTTGTCACGCTCACTAGGAATGTTTTGACATTGCCGTTTACTGGAGAGTTAAAAACAGCACGATGGCAGCCTCAAGAGCAAAATCCTCGAAAGTGTGAGAGCTAACTTCAGAAAAAAAAGGTCATAGTTGTACTATTTGTAAATTACCTTAGCTGGCATGACAACACATCCTCCATGTTGGTGCGTCTGAAGAGGAAACTCGTCGGTCCACTGAATGAAAAAGATTCTTGGTAAGATACGCCGTGACCCAAACCGCATACTAGCCCACTAAATAGTGTGTAAAAATAGTGCATATACCATTAAAAGTGCACTCATTCGTGTAGTATGTGAAATGTAGAATTGTGTGGTTTGGGACACAGCAATAGTTGTGCTAGCGAGTTGGTTAGCTAATGCTAATGTTAAAAGCCATCCTGCTTCATGTTGTGAGCTGAACTGTAACATTTTCTATTTTGAAATGCATTTTCTCTGGTATCATTAATGGAGTTGGAACAGAGAAGCAATAACTATTATTCACGGTGACACTGTTCACTTTCCAGATAACGTTTACACTTTTAAACACTGCATCGTTGTCTTAACGTTGAGGTGCGTTCAAATTCGGCGAACACAGGAGAGCGTTTCCAAACAGTTCTCTGTTTTCCGTGAACATTGGCCACCACTCGCAAACGGCTTCGGGAGGTAGTTCTACACTACCTGGACAAAGGGTTACTGTTGAATTGAAATGTTTCAAAATCGTTCAAATTTAACTGTTCATAGAGAAGTTTGCCACAAATGTTCACCACTTTGCCATCCGGTCCATCAGAGCTTCTCTGCTGTGTGCACACACACACTATATATATATTACCACCCATAGTGGACAGCGCAGTGGCCGCCCACGGGCTTAATGATCGTGACTGGCAGCATCTGGCTAGAACTGTCCATGCAAACAGACAAGCAACTCTGGCAGAAATTACAATGCAGGAGACACCACACACATAAGTGCCTCTGTTAACACACAACACCAGACACAGTGCCTCACCTGGACTTGTGAGGTTGCTAACTGGACCCTAGAGGACTGGCAACATGTGGCGTGGTTCGATGAGTCACTGTGTCAATCGTTTTGGGCTGATGGTAGGGTTTGTGTGTGGCACAGCCATGAACCCCAGTTGTCAACCAGGCACTGTGCAGGCTGGTAATGGTTTATACTGGTGTGGGATGTGTTCTCATGGCATGGTTTGACCGGTAACCACTCGTTTCACTTCTTCCTGATCACTTGTAGGCCTTCGATACCACGTCGAGTTGCTGCATTTCACAGGGCTAGAGGGGGTCCTACCCGATACTAGTTCCTGTCCCATGACTTTTGGCATGTCACTGTAATTGTATCAGGAGAAGTATAACTGCAGTGGATTAAGTTGCATTAACTCTATACGCTCTGTCTTGTGTACAGACTTTATTTTATTGTTTAGTTTTGAAACATTACATTATAAAAAGATAAAAATAAAAATACCCTTCCTGACTGTAATAAGGACTCTTCTTTCAAGGAACAGTAAATGAATGCAGACAATGAATGTCAGTTTTAATATTTTAGGCACAAGTGCACTTGTGCATGTGCAAGGAACAGTGATTTTATCAAACCAAAACCTGAAGTTAGCTCTGGTTACGGGTTTTCCCCAAAGCCATCTGAAAGGAACTCCATCCAGAAGAAAGTTAATTACGTCAGCTTGACAAAGGCCACTTACTCTTCCTGATTTCTTTTACTATTAAGGGTTCCAAACAATGCTGCAGACCAAACATGAAATGGAAATTGGTCAACAGGTAGCAGTCTCTTAAGCTACTCAGGCGAGCAAGAGAAATCCAATCATTACAAAGAAGGGAATGCTTTGTCCCACTGTCATCAAACGCATCAAACATAAAATGCTTGCACGCTGTAACATTTTGCAACAGGTGGAAAAAGAACTAGTGGCTGGGTGCACCTGTAGACTGGATTTGAAAGCAAATGTCTGCAATTATAAGACGGGTTAAATCATAACTGCCTTTTCGGTGTACAGTTCATTCCCAGACACTTTACGCTTGTTCTTTGCAGAAGTTAGTGTTAATAAGGAACCTTTTTATTTTACGTCTTCCTGATGTGCAAAATGATGATGTTCGTGTAGTGTGTTAAGATAATAACTCAATCACAATCATGCGATAAGCCGACATGCAACAGGACACCGTGCTGGTATAGGACAGACATGAAACGTGGAATGTCTTACTAGTCAGACTACATACCAACTAGGACTGTGGAAAAATACAGTTCATAGAGTTCATTATCAGTGAAGAATCAAATCATGATTATAAATTTGCATGTTCATGTTAGGCATGTCACCGTCATTACATGATCACCTGATCAAGCTAATCGCAGTAATTTCTCACAATTATTTGAAATAACTGTCCATATCAATTTATTTTGATATTCGAGTATCTGTTCATGAACAGATATCCAGTTAGCCGGAGGGAATGAAAGACTTTGGGCAAAATGGAAATAGGACTGTGACTTACCTTTTTATGTG